ATTTTGTGCTATATTGTATTACAGGTAGTAATGGGCCACAAAGATTTTGTATAGAGAAATTTGGCAAAGATACTTGGCTACCAAGATCACATACCTGTTTCAACAGACTAGATTTACCACCTTACAAAAGTTACGACCAATTAGTAGAAAAACTGAATTACGCAATCGAAGAAACAGAAGGCTTTGGCCAAGAATAATTGTAAACACATTAATTAATGATATGGTAGATACACTGCATTAGTGTATTAATGGATGACAAAAACAAAATTAATGTAGTTTCGCGAACTGATGGTAAACTATGCTGATGGTTTCTATGCTACATTTAAAATCTGTTTAGGGTAGCTATAATTGACATTGTAAAAGTTGCAAATAATTAAAGATGTGTATATTGTTCCAAAAATTTATATGAAATGTCTTAAATTATATACAAATAATGTAATAATATATAAGTATTACTCTATTATAATTTATTCCAATATATTTCATATTTTATCGATATTTTTAACTTATCCACAAACATGAAATAGAACATTAATAAGGCATAACATTTATAATAAAAATAAGAATAATATAAATATATATAAAGAAACTATATGAGAATGTAAAATTTAATGTTTCTTTATAACATAAAACACTCACTCACACTCACACACACTCGCTCACTCACTCACTCACTCACTCACCCACTCACCCACCCACTCACCTACCCACGTACACACAGGGGGTGAGAACGAGAAAGAGAGGGGAAGGAAAGGAGGGAGGGAGGGAGGATGAACTACAATTTGCTAAAATGTTAATGCAGAAAGATTTTTCAAAAATTAAGTAAAAGTACATGTCATTTCTTATTTCATGCAGTAATTTTGCAAGTTTTTAAAACTGCTTAATTTTAAGAGCTACAATTAAATGGTTGTCTGTTCGTAAGTCATGCATATATTATATATGTATATATATATGTATATATGTATATGTATATATATAATTTAATAAATTGTTAATAAAGTATGTTTTAATTAATAATTGCAATCTAATTGCATATATGTCATGATTTATTATAACTAATAAGAATCTTATTGGACGTACATTTTAAAAAATTATAAAATGTATTATAACTGTTATAATCTTTTCTAATTTGTTCATTTATTCTTTCATTTATGTATTTTATTAGACCATGAAAACTATAATAAATATTATAAATAAATATAATATTATATATTTTTGCACATATGTAAATATTAGGTATCGATCTTTGTGTCAATACACATATTTCTATTTACTATTAGTAAATAAATAGATTGCATGCTTGCGTGCGTGTATATGCGCGCGCGCACATGCACGCAATGTTTTATTTCAAACATAACGTGTTGTATATTTCAAAAAATATGAAAAGAAAATATTTCAGATGAAAAAAATTTACGGTCTAAAGGGATTATTTAAACATCGATAAAATTATTTTTCGAAAAAAATCAATTTTTTAAAGTTATTTATACCGCTATTTTTTTTATAATGGAATTAAAAACTGTACAAAATAATTTACGAGATATTTTATATTTGATTTTGGTACATATTGACATGAAATATCTTGTAAACTATTGATTTTTTAATAGCTTTACCTTAATATTTTTATATGCGCAATAATTAGAGAAATTATACAAAAAAAATCATACAATTTTATTTCAAAAACTGGCAGTAATCTTCATATGATCTTGAAAAACCAATATTTTTCGAAAATTACTTTTATTAATATTGATATTCTACACAACTTTCATTTGAAACATTTTTTTCCATATCTTTCATATTTTTCGAAATATTCTATCCATTACGTTTGAATAAAACATCTTGTATATACGCAATATTACCGTATAATATAATCCTGATTTAAAATTCAAAAACACAATAAATGCATATTTTTAGATCATTAAAGTCATATTACGTGTCCCAGTACCTAATCTTTTCTAATTTATCCATTTATTCTTTCATTTATTAATTTTATTAGGCCACGAAATATAATGCTCAAAAGCAAAAAAATGACATACTTTTATTAATTTCTAAAAAACTTTCTTATACTATTCATCAGGGACTTTGGAACAACCTATGTACAGTATTTTAATTGTCCTAAACAATATCTTGAAAAAGTATGGACAAAGAGAAACATTTCAGAAACTTTCAAAATAATGTTTTAAAACTCTATTAAAAATATTAAAGTAGTTATTTAAAAAACGAAGTTTATAAGATATTTTATACTTTATTCTGGCATATTTTAACATAAAAAAATATATTGTGAAATATTGATGTTTTTTAGTAACTTGTCTTTTATATGCAGAATTAAAGGAATTATTTTATGTAAAAAAATTATATAATTTTAACCAATAGAAGATAAACGCCTTTTAATTACCTAATTGGATCTCAAGTTATATAATTCTATGTAAATTTATATACTATGTATGCAATCATTTAAACTGCGTGCCAAAATGATTTTTCGAAACTTTTGCCTGGGGCAATTAACATGGAACACTTTGTATAAATAACTGGATCACAAATTTTCGTTTTAAAATCACAAGGATGGTTGACAATTAATCATGAAGGTGTGTCTGATCGTATATCTTGAAATAAAATGAAAATTATAAAAGTGAGCAAATTTAGTGTGTAGAATATTTTACATAATTTCATTGATCAATATCTAGTGAATTTGCTCACTTTTATAATTTTCACTTGTTTTTAAGAATACAGGTGAAAATAATCCTATATAAGTTTCTATGTAAATTTGTATTCTACCGTATCAAGATATTTGATCTCAAAGTTAAGATTTGGAAAGTAGTTTTCATGAATAACTTTTAGGTATATTACTCACTGTGTTGACAATTTGTAATTATTAGGCATAGATTATATGCATGGATACGTCTTGTGGCTGTAATCAGGGAATCGAGTTAACAGAGCGAGAGAGTATATCTTTTTACGAGAATGATATTAACTACGCAAACTCGAGCCATATAAATATGTATAAATTCCAATTATGCTTTATTACATTTTAAATCATAATTATTCATTAAGTACTTACGCGAATGAAAGGAAATATTTAAAAATAAATACTAATAAAACATAGCTCTCGATGTCAAAACAATAAATAAAACAATGTAGAAGGCAAATCCGAGTCGCTAAATATAATTAAGAAATCAATACATTAAAAAAATTAGAAATATAATTAAAACAATTTTTAATTATATTTTTTTAATTATAGTTTTAATTAACTTTTTTAATGTATTGATTTCTTAATTATATTTAGCGACGACTCTCGGATTTGCTTTTTACATTGTCTTATTTAAAGGAAATGATATTGTTATTATTTCTCTAATACACATATGTATGTTATTTCGAGTTTGCGTGTAACTTTTTAATACAACGCACTTACTGTCTCTTTCTATCTAACGAGAAATACGCATCCATCGGTGCTTTTTTGATTGATCGATTGACTGCATTGTGCGCAAATATAATTTTGTTCCGTAAAAGCTATATGAAAGTAGTATAAAAATTATTTAAGTAAAATGTTTTTTGAATTTTAACTTTGGAAACAAGTATTTCAACAATTATGTATATTGTAGGAAAAAAAATGTATAAAAACTTATAGGATTATTTTTATCTAATTTGTATGTTCGTGAAATATTTCCCACCATTACAAGGACACTATATTTTATAAGTGACTAATAAGATATTTTATGTTCCATCTTAGGGAGTTTAGAATAGAAGTGACTATAGTTATCTCTTTATGTACAATATATCTACAATAGCAAATATTAATAATTATACTAATTTAGATACATTATCTAAATAACATTATGAATATTTGCTATATATAACGGCCAATTTTATTGTAGAAAGGAGATTCTGGATATTTTTTTATTATCAGATATATTTCTCATACATTTGTATTGTTATTTATTTAGAGATTTCTGATATCCCCTGCATATTATCTTACACATGTACGAAATTACCTAAAACTATATTATAATACAATTTTTCATTATATTTATAATAATGTAATATTGGAAATTATAAAATTGTGCATTGATTTGTAATATGTTTTATGTATATGTATAACATCTATGCAGTATAAACACAATTATTTACGTGTATCACTGCATAAATAGATGCATATATGTGTGTATTGAATATTATTTAAACATATCTATAAGATATTTGGATTTATTAAAATTAATCACAGGGTGAAACATTTATTTAAGTATCAAATAAATAAAAATACCTGCTTATAAAATGTTGAATACTATCATATGATGCATTAATATTTGTAAAACATGTTTATTTTTTATGTTCTCTTGTATAATATTGATTCATATAAATATATTTATAGGTAATTTGGATTCAGTGCTTTATTGTATGCACACACATCTTTTATTTTTCTCATATTCTGATTATTTCTGATATTCTAATTATTTTTAATGTAATGTAAAAAGAAAAATTATAATTTATGAGATATTTAAAATTTTGAAAAAATAAATGCAAATAATTTTAGAAGAAAAATATATATACACATGTAATTAAAAATTCTATGTATAAATCGAATTATATTTGTTGCTTATGCAAAAAATTGTCTTAATTTTGTTATATTTAATATTATACTCTACTTATTCAAAAAAGAATATTGTTTCAAAAATATTCGTAGGCATGTGTCAAAATCAATATAATTTAATATGGATATAAGCACTACGTATGGTATTACAATGTGAGAACACTCAAGATTCACGTAATTCAAAAACAAGTCTTAACAATAAATAATTTGTTTCTTACACTATTGCATGTTTGAGCAAAACGATTCGATTGTATAAATTTAAAACAAATTTTTGTCAGATTATAAATTATAAATACATCTCTGTGTATATATTAAATGTTGTATAGAGTATATATTCTATCAAATAAAGAAAATTTTGTGATTAGAAATCATGAAATGTACCTCTATTATTGATTCAATTAATTTATTAGTATTCGTACATATTACAGAAGATATATTAAATCTATATTAGGAACAATGACTATAACTTTTCATCTATTTCTTGCTATAGTTTTGGATTAGGGCCAAAAAATTTTTCCCATGAAAAATGATGAAAAGTCGAGTTGTGGCCATCTATGTTATCTTTTGTAGATTTCCACTTTTCGTTAAAATTGTTCAGTTCACCTGCAATTAAAATTTTTGTATTATTTGAATTATAAAGAGCTAGAATAAAGGCGGTATTTATATTTCGTTCTTGTTTTAAAACCGTTTTAAGTAATGTCTTAAAATGCCAATACAGTCCAAAATTTGGCGTATGACATCTTAAGACTATATTTAAGACAATCTTAGGTATAAGAATTGACTATGAATAATATCCTACGTGACCTAAGTATTATAAAAATATATAAATAGTTTTCAGTTTGGATGCTCACGCATTGTGAGCTTTATTATACTTTATCAATTATCTGACTTTCTTACTTACATTTTTTAATTTTTGACACATTTATTTTTAATGCAATAAACTATATATATGAAGACTATGAACATTTCTTATTCACTTTTGATTTATGTGACTTATTAAGTTTTTACGACAATTCAGTTACACTGACGAAAATTCTTTTAAAATATGATTCAAGATGTTAAAATCAATCGATCATGAAAGGAAGAGCGAAGCTTATAGCACATGAGCATCCCAATTAGGGTATTGATCATTTTTTTTTTCTAGGATGAAGAGTGAAAAGTGAAAAATTTTTTCATTAACTTCAATTTAAAAAATTAAAAATTTTCACTTTTTACTTTATATCCTAAAGAAAAAGTTTCATGATTGAAATTGCAAGAATAAAAAGGGCTAGTGAGAGTAAATTCGCTGTTAATGGTGCGATCATATAAAAAGTATATTGTAGTAAATAAAACAACAAAAAAATTAATACAAAACTAAGTTTCATTGTTGAAACTAACTTTCATGATTAATACCTTCAAGACAGCTATAAGGCCGCAGCACACACTTTTGCATAACTCATAAAGCATGTGCATAAAGAATTTCATTGGCCCATTTTCTTATGCATGAGTCAATGGACCAATCAAATTCTTTATGTGTATGGTTTATGCGTTATGCAAAAGTGTGTGCTGCGGCCTATAATGTTACATACTGTTGGATATATATAAAAAATGTTTAGATGTCAAATGTATATATATCATACAATCTCTAAAAAGAAAAGAAATCGTTTAAAGTGTTCCCAAATTAATAAAAAAGCGTTTTTTTTAACAGATTAAAAATTTAATATTCTTCATCAATCAGTCGACAATATTAATGTAGTTTACATAGAAATTTCCTTTTATAGCTAGTTTTCATAACACAATGAAATTTGATAATTTACTTATTTATCACAATTAACTTTCAAATAAATGTATACAATTTATAAATGAACGCAATCTTAGAAACTATAATTTATACAAGTTTTCATTGATAATTTTTTTAAAATTAATTTTTAATTAAATTTAGTATATCCCTCATACATACTTTCATCCATGTTAAATATATCCTCAGATCTTGTTTCAACGCCATTTTTATCTTTTTTTACAGTAACAACATAGGTTTTGTTGTTTGCTTCCTTTGAAATAATTGTCTCCTCATTGCCTTCACTATCTCTGATTATTTGCTTTTTCTCGATAGCTCCATCAGCTCTACGTATAATCTCCTTTCGAACAGATCTTCCAGAAAATGAAAAATTATTTGGTACAAAAGGTTTTGTTATTTCCATATTTTCTTTATTCCACATTTTTGAAAATTCTACAGTCCCCCTATAATACAAATTAATAAATTATATACACAATGTAGGTAATTATATTGTGGAAAGGTTTAACCTCACCAATGAATTTGATTTTTACACATAATGAAAGTCGATATAATCTTGAGTCATACAGATTCTTCTAGTTTTGAGATAACACTATATTTAATTAAATTCTTTTGAAAAGCTATTTGTTCGTTTTTTACCAATTAATTTATTTAATTTAATTCTAAGTATAAAAAGTATTAAGATGGTTTTTTTTCTATAAAAAATAAATAGTTTCTGATATTTTATATCAGAATATATCAAAATAAAATACAAAATATCTTAAAAACTAAATTGTTAAAATTTTTTATGATCCACATTAATATTTAAAATAACTAGAATTATATTTTAAAGAAATTAAAAAAAAAAACATTTTTAAAAACGGTAGTTTTACTTTGAAAAATTAATTTTATTGGAAATTGATTTTATATCATTACTTATGCTTTAAACATATTTTTATTTAAAACATTTTTCTAAAGTTTTATATTATAAGTTATATTTTTATGATTCTTATTATAAAAGTTTCAATTTTATTATATTAAGCACTTGTATAAGATATAATAAATAATTAAAGAATTAGTACTACCTTCCATCTAAATCTGTGTCTACTTTGTCTTCGATTGGTACATCTGCGATGACAAATGTATCAGGCTCCGTTTTCAGCATTCTGTTCCGTAAATTGTCATTCTTCTCAGTTGTAGCAAATGGTAATGTTGTAATGGCTTTATCACCTGTAAGAATTCTTTTTAAATACATATTTTAATAAATAAGCATGCAGAATGACAAATTTTTCATCAAAGAAACATACCAAAAAAAGTATTGTTAAAATTAAAAAAATTGTTCAACATATTATCTATCTGGGATTCAAAGTAAGACATCATTTCGAGTGGATTACTATCAATGTTGAACTGAAAACTGCGCGAGTTCTCAGGATGCCTAGAAAATAAAAAATTTGAATGAAAATTTATTGAAATTTTTTGAATATACAAGTATTCTTTTCTTTACCAAAAGTTAACTATATCATCGTCATCATCATCTTCATCGCTCTGCCAAATTGGATTTCGAAAATTTTCTTGATGTGAATCATAATTGCCAAATCTGAAAAGTATATTAATATTACAATCTAAAATTGATGATGCAATCCCTAAAAATTTTTATTAGAATTCTCTATACAACTTTTTATACAAATTTTCTATATAAATCTTATACTTAATGAATTGTTTATTTATACATTGTTGATGATACATTTTAACCTCTCAAATATATCATTTTATTTAATTATTGTTTTTAGAATATTGAATGATGATATTTGTTTTTCAAATTTTCATTTTACATAAAAAAAATTAGAATCTATTATTATCAAAAAATAAAAAGGATCTTAACATTTATATGTAACATATATATAATATATATATTAACATTTTTCGTGTATCATAAGTCTAAGTCTTTTACCTGCTTGTACTAGGCTCATTACGTTTTACACCAAGAAATTTTTGAAAAAATTCGAAAAACGTCATTTTTGAAATAAATAGAATTGTAACAACTGGTAACAACCGTCAAAATAACGCAACAAACTGCATGATTTGCATGTTTTTAATTGTTCAAACCAGTGTTACCATAAGCCCAAACACAAGCTTTTGCATAACGCATAACGTATAGTGCATAAGAGAATCAGCCAATCAAAGTTCTTCTTTTCGTTGAAGTAGAAGGAAAGGAGGGCTTCAGATTGGTTGATTCTCTTGTGCACAATGTATTATGCGTTAATGCAAAAGCTTGTGCTCCCCGCTTATAGGCCGCAGCACACGCTTTTGCATAAAGGTGCCTTTTCACGAGCTGCTGGCCGTTCCAGCAGCGTCATATTCGCTTGTTATTCGTCAATTTTTATCACGTGACCTTTTTTGTCGCTGGAACGGCCAGTGTTTCACCAAGTCATGAAAAGGCATCTTTAGTCTTATTTCTGGCTGCCTATTTAAATTTCCCTCGTTTTGATGACGTCTACTTTGAAAGAATTCTTATTGGTCACTTCTTTGTCACGTGAATAACGTATCCTTGTATTTATATCATGGTTAAATCTTTTTTTTTGTGCGAAAACGCATCGATCGGGTGTATTTTTACCAAAATTTAAGGATTCTAACATTAAGGTTATAATTTGAAAGATTATATTCAATTCAGGCGCAAAATCTTGCATTAGCTCCACGAGATCTTTGAATCCGGAGTGGATTGAAGAGTCTTTAATATCAGCTCAATAAGTATTTAAAACTGTACTGATTTTAACGTAATCATCCGAGTTTTCGATTATTATTTTTTAGTAATATACAAAAATATAGCATTATATATAATAAAAGTATGCGTACTTACTTATGCAGCATTTATATAACAAAAAGTCGTGAATTTAATGTATTATCAAAATATTAATTATGTAAAAAAATCGCAAATTTGTATCAATTACTGATGTCTTCAATTATCCTCGGATCTCCAGCACGTCCCAGCACCTGATTGATAGTTACAAAAATTTGTGACCGGTTGTCCTCAATAGTATTTCGTCGGTGTCCCTACTGTCATATAGGGACGTGAATGCAAATGTGAAATGTGAAGATCATGGTACAAACGGTAATGCGAAACTTTGCGTGAAACACCTTCTGCATGTCACATTCTTCCTCATGTATATATATATTGTATCGTAACAGTGTGTTATAACAATACAATATTAAAAGCTACTACACGCAGTCCGTAATCGATTAGGAAAGAAAGCGCAGCGAGAGCTCGACCCGCTCGGTTTGGTGATAGTTGGTGATAGTGGATTAGTGGTTACGCATTCCGGCCGGTTACGCCTGCTCGAGAAATGCAGTTCTGAATCGGCGACGGCACGGCACGGCGCGGCGGCGTGGTGCGGCGTGGTGCGGTGCGGTGCGATTTGCGCTTTCCGTTTTCGCGGAGTGGGTGGCGACACACCGCGACGGACAGTGACGGGACGAAGGAGGGACGCGAGATCGTCGTATTGTCAGAGCGCTGGTCAGCGCTGGCGTGTTCTCTCGGTTCCGAGGTGCGGTGCGTTTCGTCGGTTTGTGTCGCTGAGACGACAGCACGAGCGTGAGCTTCCGCTGTCGAGCTCTGGGCCACTCCGGAAGGTAGAAGTAAAAGCAAGCGAGAGAGAGGACAGCAAGGAGGCGGCGTGAGAAGTGAGGACGAATGAGAGAGATAGGCACGGTAGCAAGATGGCGAGCTCCTTAACCTGGTCGTGTTGCCTGCGTTTTAAATTCAGCCCGGAAGAGATCGAGCAGCGTTACAAGAGCCAGGAGATCGACCGGATGCTAGAGAAGGACCGGCAAACGTTTCGCCGGCAGGTCAAGCTGCTGCTGCTTGGCGCGGGAGAGAGCGGCAAGTCGACATTCCTCAAACAGATGCGGATCATTCACGGGATCAAGTTCGAGGTAAGGACCGAAGGAGTTCCATGCGTGCTAGCACCACGTGATGGAATCCGGTGTGTCCGTCTCGCTTTCAAATGTTGGTTTGGTCATCCACGTACGATCGATGTCATTTCGTGCACCAACACCTGGCTTGTACTTGATATATTTGTTGAGATCTTACAATAGAAATTGAACGTTTCTCTTATAAAGACTATTACTTGTATTACAACTTTTAGTAATACTATTAAATAAACACAATTATATTTTAATCGTGTACATTTTAATATTGTGATCGAGATGTTACAATAGACAAATATCTTAAGAGAGAAAAATAGAAATAATAATTGCTCACATCGATTAACGAATTACATAGGATAAATCAAGTTATTAATTAGACTTATCTGATACATCCTGACCATCCTTACAGATCATCATTAGTATTAAACGCTTTATAAATATATAAAATAATATGTAAGGCCTTACATCCGCAACGAACGACAGATCAGACGAGAGTGAGCAGAGCATCAAAAATAACATAAGAAATTCATGCATTACGAATGTAGCTAAACATAAACTCAATATCAGCTTAATTCAATCTATCGAATTAATTGATAACTGAATTAGTTAGATTAAATTACTCTATCTCAACCATATTAACCAAGTATATATTTAACCTTCATACAACTTACACATTAATGGATCTATTTTTTATCTTATCTTTTTACAATTGAGCACAGTATTTTGTCTGTTGTAAACTGTGTTTGCATTGTGCATTTTTTTTTTTTTTTACAAAAAGAATGAAATGGCTCAATCTTCTCTGACAAGAAGATACATAGAATATTGGAATATAAAAAGATATTCCTAAAATAAAATATTCAAAAATACAACATATATTTCTGTGATTTCAATTTCAAACTATTTTACAGACATCTATACTAATAGCAGGGCTGTGCAGAAGGAATTGGCTGCTTACGTGCAAAAATAATTTTATCGCCCCAAAAGCGTGTATACATATACAAATTACGAATACTTAGAAATCCTCGATTAAAAAAAAACAATGTTCTATACATATGTAACAAATATAGACAAAATTAATTACAAATTATAATACACAGAATCATAAGATACCATCAATGTTCATTTTATGATATTAATATTTTATTATTATTATAAACAAATATTACAGAAAACAATTTTTGTGTACTTTTTGCAAAGCAAATTCTAATATTAGACTATACAAATTAGTTTATATCAAATTTGATTTGAAATATCTATTAAAATTTAATATATCAATACTGTACTTAACGTTAAATAATAGATACTATCTATAATAAATGACTCACCTAATATTAATATTAAGAAAAATGTCTTGAAACATTGAATCGATACATTTTACAAAAACAATTATCAAGAATCATCGCAGATTAAATTATTATAGTCATTTCTTGACACTGACATACTTTATATTTCAATCTTTGACTGACGATTTTATGTTACAGTAAATGTGTATTGACAGTATAAATGTAAAAGGATAATACATAGATCAAACAAAACTAAAAATAAAAATAAATATCTTTATCAAGAGAGTCAAGTGAAAGCAGTTGATTAGAATTAAAAATATTAAAGTACATTATACAATTCACGTTTTATGCCATTAAGAATTTGTATCTAATTTTGGTGTAAACAGTGTAAACCATCGGTATTAGTGCGCAAATTCAAACTATTATCTTCTATATGAATGTAAATGCTTTCAGAGATCAATCTTTTAGGAATCATTTCTTGACACATTTTAGTATCAAGAAATGATCAAAGTAATTTAATCTGTGATGATTCTTGGTAAATGTTTTTGTAAAATGGATCAATCCAATTTTTTAAGATATTTTTCTTTGTATTAATTTTAGGTGAGTCATTTGTTATTTAAAACATTTAAATATTGTATGACACATTATTGATACATTAAATTCTAACAGAGATTTTAACATCTGTAAATCTGATGTGACTCCAATTATTGATACAGAGGAGGTATATTAATATTGTATTAGCTGAAGAAGAAGATTCCAAAGTGAGTCGAAACGCTCTAATTTTATGGAATAAAGAATTTTTTTTACACAAATCCACGGATTATTGTTTTGCGGACGAAGTACCATGCCGCACTCTCATTCGCCCTAGATTACTGGAGTTTATATTATTGATAAATTTTTCAAGTCGTTCCTGTAACATTGTCTAAAATCTACCCTCACTCCTCAAATTTCTGACAATTGTGCAGTCTAGTCTGTCTATAGTTGATATATACTATACTGTCTATAGTTGATACATTCTAACATTATATTGAATTTTAGTTCCATATCTTTGGGCTTTGGCTACCTCTGGCTTTGGCCGCCTGTGTGCTATGCATACATCGCACAATTGCTAGGCACAGCCCTGACTAATGGTATTTCTATCTCTATCAAAATGTAGATTAATTTATTCTTGATTTAATTTACTTTTTTATCTTCTTATAGTTCTAAGAATTTGAAAGAGATAAAGAATAAGTTAAACCGAGGTTAAAATTAATCTACATTGGTAGAAACAAATATAAACTATAACGTATGTATATGCAAATGTTGTGACTTCTCTGACTTTGAAGTTATAAATAATTGTTTTAAATAAAATAAAAAATTAATTTTTAATTTATATTCTGAGGTTAATATTTGCTAATTATATTAAGCAGCATCTACAATGAGACTTTAAGGCATAAATCTTTAAAGCTTTAAGCCATAAGAAATTGACCAATTTCTTATGGCTTAAACCAATACAATTAACCATTACAATCAAATGTAAGGAGATTAATCAACTATAATTGATCAATTTCTGACAGTTTAACATTTTGAGTGTTACATTAGTGTTACTCAAGTGTTACATTTTAAAATATCATTATAGATATCATTTTATGCGGTTTTTCTTCAGATATGAAGAAAGAATTAAACTTGAATTCTACATCTTCTCTACAACTTAAATCTAAGTAAGTGTTAAGATAATTTTTGTGCTCAAACCTTAAGGTTAAGACTGGTTAAGACTTTTGATTAACGACTCATTGTAGAACCTCTATAAGAGTTGGCATTATAATCGAAAAGAAGAAAAAAGTCAAATATAAGTAATATGGTAAATAAGTAATATAGTATGTGTATATGTTATATGTGTAATAAATTATGTAAAATACATAGAAGATAAAAAAAATAAGGAACAAGACCACGGACTGTGATGAAAGAAGCATTAAGATCAATTTAACATGTGATATTTTTTCACATCTTAAAGTTAATTTTTACAAAGTATTTTATCATTTATCATTTAAAATATTTATAATTTATCATTTAAAAATGATTGAAAATTTCGAAACTGAAACTCATTTTAGTTAGAATAAATATTTTTTATTGAAAATGGCAATACATTAAACATTTAATTGTAGATAAAAGTAGCACTTATCATTAATTTCATCTTAAACATTAAATATATTTTTCTTAATACTTAATGTCATATCACAAAGTATATTATAAAACCATAAACATCATATGGTATTTCTCTTTTTTAGTTTCTTTTATTTAGTATTAGAGTTGATATTATGTGTTATATTTTTTCAGCCTGAACTGATTAAGGAATACCAACATGTAATCTATCAGAATATAATAAAGGGTATGAAGGTTCTAGTAGATGCACGGGATAAACTAAATATTCCTTGGGAGAATTCTAAGAATTATGACATCGGTTTTCAATTACTCAAGTTTGAGAATACTATGGTGCTGGATACTAGATTATTTCTACATTATGTGCCAGCATTGCAGAGTTTATGGACGGATGCATCGATTAAAAGAGCGTTCGACAGGAGAAGAGAATTCCAATTAGTAAGATCTTTTTCTCTCTTTTTTTGTTAAATGTAAAGATACAAATTTTGTGCATGCGTATATGTGTTTGTGCAGCCAATATAAATGTAATAATTATTTATTACTTCTATATTGTTTCTTAATTTATGTGTTTGTATAAAACGATATATTTCAAATCAAGACTATGAGCTATACAGGGAGGGGCATTTAAAACAAGTCACCTGAATAACTCGCTTGTTTTTGACAATAGAAGAAAAAGTGTCAAACAAAAGTTGCTTGGTTTCGAGGGACACATAATGTGATGTCAATAATTGTTTTTTTGGTGGAGGCGCTAAAAAGATATGAAGGTCACCTCCATTTTTTTAAATGGAATTATGTAATTTTTTTTAGATAACGTGATTCCTCTAATTATTTTACATATAAAAGTATTAAGGTAGAGATACCAAAAAACCAATAGTTTTCGAGATATTTTACACTTTATTTTGATACATATTGACACAAAATGTTAAACTCGTAAACTGTTGACTTTTTGATTATCGTACCTTAATACTTTTGTGAACAGAATAATGAGATAAATCAAATGGTGTAAAGAAAACACATAGCTTTTAAAAAAAATATGTATACAAAATGGATAATTTTTTTAAATACGCAATTATGCGTTTTCTTTACATCATTTGATTTATCTCATTATTCTGTTCACAAAAGTATTAAGGTACGATAATCAAAAAGTCAACAGTTTACGAGTTTAACATTTTGTGTCAATATGTATCAAAATAAAGTGTAAAATATCTCGAAAACTATTGGTTTTTTGGTATCTCTACCTTAATACCTTTATATGCAAAATAATTAGAGGAATCACAAAAAAAATTACATAATTCCATTTAAAAAAGTGGAGGTGACCTTCATATCTTTTTAGCGCCTCCACCAAAAAAACAATTATTGACATCACATTATGTGCCCCTCGAAACCAAGCAACTTTTGTTTGACACTTTTTCTTCTATTGTCAAAAACAAGCGAGTTATTCAGGTGACCTGTTTTAAATGCCCCTCTCTGTATACATAACGATTATATTATATTTGTATACGTGATTTTATATTTCCAGAGTGATTCTGTCCAGTACTTCTTAGATAATCTTGATAGGATTGCAAGAGTGGTAATACTTTTTACAATTTATAATTACAACAATTAAATATATTTTTATTTATTGTAAAGTGTAAAGAAAAATGTATTTGTGGATATATTATTTTTAATTTTTGTTATTATTTATAAAGTGTATAAATATTTTTTAGGATTATACACCGACACATCAGGATATTCTACACTGTAGAAAGGCAACAAAAGGAATTTCTGAATTTGTAATACCGATTAATAATATTCCATTCCTCTTTGTTGATGTTGGCGGTCAAAGATCTCAAAGGCAAAAATGGTATCAATGCTTTGACTGCGTGACATCTATACTTTTTCTTGTATCATCATCGGAATTTGATCAGGTCTTGTTGGAAGATAGGTAAGTTATTTTTTTTGTTTACTTTACAAGAAGATTAAAATAAATGATAATGCTTTTTTGCAATTAATCTTATAGGAGAACTAACAGATTGGAAGAATCTAAGAATATATTTGATACAATCGTGAACAACATGATATTTTGTGGTGTGTCTATAATTCTGTTTTTAAACAAAACGGATTTGCTCGATAAAAAAGTGAGGTCACAGGATACAAATATCCGTTTGTATTTTCCACAATTTGCGGGTGATCCACATTCCATGAAGGACGTGCAAAATTTTATCCTCGATATGTTCGTCTCGGTCAAAAGGGATCCAAGGAAACCGTTGTTTCATCATTTCACCACTGCAGTAGATACAGAAAATATTAAAGTTGTCTTTAATGCTGTGAAGGATACTATTCTGCACCGAAACTTAGAATCTCTTATGCTTCAATAGTGTAGAAATGGAGTGAATAACCAGATAAAACAGCTAGTAAAACAAAGGTATGCGTCAGAAATTCACATTTAATATATTATTAATCCAATTTGTAGTTTTTGAAGAATATTGCAATATACACTACGTCAAAACACATTTTGATAAGACAATATATATGTATGAATTATACAACTTTTGAATATTTACTTCATATATAGATACATTTATAGTAAAGAAGAAAAACTGCCTACTATAAATTACTGCCTAATATAAAGATATATTAAAAAAAATTTAACTTTATATATACACTATGTATGCGTGCGTATACATACATGTGCGTGTTCATAAATAAAAATATAAACATTGCGTGCGTGTGCATGTGCATGTGTGTGTGTACAGGGTGAATCATAATATTCGTTTGCTTTGCTTACACTTTTTACATTAAGCATCTTCGTTTTCTTTCTCTTCGACGCCCGATATATATTTACCTCAATTTAGTGAAAAGTGTAAGCAAAGTGTAAATAAGGCGGACAGACCTATAATCTCAATACTCAACGGATCATAGGAGATGAATTACTGATTGTAATTGAAAAGAGTGTGAAGATCATGCCTAAGAGAGAAGTATTCATCTCTCATGGTAAAACGTTGAGACCGTACGTTATATGATTCAGCCTGTGCGTGCGTGCGTGCGTACGTGTGTGTGTGTATGTATGTATGTATGTATGTATGTATGTATGTATGTATGTATGTATGTATGTATGTATGTATGTATGTATGTATGTATGTGTATATGTGTGTACAGGGTGAATCATAATATTTGTTCGCTTTGCTTACACTTTTTACATTAAGCATCTTCGTACGTATGTATGTATGTATATTTGTATGTATGTATGTATGTATGAGATACGTTTTCATTATACTTTTGGTAAATATTGAACGATTTCGAGATCACTACAAATTCTATTGTACATAATATTGTATTCTATTATATATTGTCAATAATTTCTACGATAATGGTTTGTATAAAAAGAAAGGATCAGTTGCAAATAATTCAGTTTAAATTCTTATGTTGTTTTTATAGCCTATGGCTGTGTTCGGAGAGACGTTATTAGTATTATTTGTGTCATTCTATCCTTGTTGTATGTACGAACCATGAAGATAAAATAGCACAAATAGCGTTTTTCTTAACACATCCTATATATATCATGGAAAAACATTGAATTATATGTGCGCGCGCGCGTGTGTGTGTGTATACTATATGTGTGTGTATATACTATATATATAAAAGATTATTACTGGTTGATATATTAAACCAAAATTCACAATCCACAATTAACTTATTTTTTTTTTACTTAAGATTAATTTTTTTTATTACTGAATATATTAATCGTACGAAATGCCAAAGAGAATGATTGCTCTTTTTATATTCATAATCGTGCTTCTACATGATGATTTTTAGATTTGACATGACGTAAGTTTTTGCAATCGTTTTTGGCACTCAAATGATTAAATAAGAAAACCAAATATTAGTTTCTCAAGCCATATAAACCAAATGAAGCTAACCAATTTGTGTTCAAGTTGCTGTGGAAAAAGTTCACCCATTTTTTTCCGAAGAAGCAATGTTATTTAATATAATTCATGGTTGAGAAAGTTACTTTGTAAAAGTAGTCAGTTACAGTTATAGATTTTGTTTTGTTTCAAAAAGTAACTAGTTACGGTTTCACCTATTTTAAAAAATAACAAGTTATAGTTATTCAAAAAATAACTTCAGTTTCTCCTTTTTTGTTATCATTACAGAACAATATGAGTAACATTTTGATATTATTAAGACCAACAAAGAAAAAGATTGATTACATGTTTTGTACATATTAGATGGGGTGTATCCGGCGGTACTGTAACTTTCGTGGCTTATGACATCAAAATTTAGTAAAAAATGACTTTATTATAATATTTTGAAAAGCTTTTTACTCGACCTATTACTCATTTTTGAAACTAAAAATAGTGTCCCATTAAAAAAATTTATTTAACCTAATCTTGATTTAATCTAATCTTGACCAGACCTTGGTGATGTCACTCAAGATCAAACAGATGTGATTCAGTAAATAGATCTTTTAAAACTATTAGTCTCTCTTATGTCTGAAACATTTTTCTCGAAAATGCTTTGTTTTCAAGATATTCGATTGTTTCCAAACTTTTGATATATCCTGTATAATTATTTAAAAGTTAAAAATATTAAGCCAGAAGTATATAGAAAAACGTCAGGAAGTATGATGTAAATAGTAAGTGAATTTATCTAATCATGATAGAAAATTAAGACAGTAAACTTTATGTTTTCTACTGTGATGTTTACTTTGCTTACTGCTTACGTTTTATTGCCTTACAGATATTATAATAAGTTCGTATAGATTCGCATTTATAGACTGTCTACAATATTAGACAATAGGGAGTAATATTTCGTAGTAAGAAATTAATCAATCTTAATTGATTCTTTTTATTATTTGAGTGTAGTTGGTCGATTTCTTACTGCTTATAATTTATTATTTCTTATTACAACTTATTACTTTCATTGTAGATAGCTGTTTGGAGATAAAGAACCAGTAGACATTGACAATAAGCATGATTAAATTGTAAAACGCTACTATTAATGTGATATTTGTACAGATAATTCGTTTACGAGAGATAAAGAACCAGTGGACATTAAGCAAAATTAAATTAAAGGTTATTGTTTGTATTTTGAACACATCCTTTGTTTTCTGTACAATAAGTAGAGGCAGTAACGCAACTAGCTTCAGATTCTAGCCAGTCACATTAAATTAAAAAATAAGTTTAAAAATAAATAAGTGTAAAGTAACTGTAAAAGTAACTCAAATTAGTTACTAGTTACTAAAAGAAATGTAATTACGTGAAGATTCAATTTCAAACAAAAATAATCTATACTATTTAAAACTCTCAATCTTAAAATACAATAAACAAAGCAACAAAAAAGGCTACTGAGAGTTACAGTTACAGTTGGAAAAGGAACATTGAAGTTACTTAAAAAAGTAACTGTAAAAGTGTTTTTTTTTATACTGACGTTAGACGATCATTATTAGCGTTAAAACGCTTGATATTTGTTAATTTTTATCATTTAACCTGTTTTGACGCTAAAAATTAATGCCAAACGTCAGCATGAAGAAAGCATCTTAAGTTACAAATAATTAATATTTCCCAATCCTGGATATAATAATATTTAAATCTTTTTGTTTCTCACATTGTGTATATTATAAATAAATTGTAGGCTGCTATTATTATTATATAATATATAAGAATATTATGATTCTTTATCTCTTTTTATGAAGATATTTAATTTTTTATACATTATGTATCATGCATTATATGTATTTTTATGTATTTAATATAGAAGAAATTCTTCTCTATTTCTTAAATTTAATATTATGAAGTACAAAATGATAAATTTTAAAGAAATATAATAGCAGCTGTTTTTAATTTAATAATTTTCATTCAATTTTTTAATGATTTTCAATGTAATGATATCATGTCATAAGTGTAATAAGTTTTATTTGTCTATTCTGTATATTTGATAACTGATCCTTTATTAATTATCACACTTTTAAAAGAAAAACAAAATCAGTATTATTTTTTTTATACTGTGCGAATTAATCAAATTTTTTACTTTCTTATATTATTTACCAGAATAGAACAACAATTTATATGAAATATATCTAATATTTAATTTGATCCGAATATCTAATCTAGTATCATAAATTTAATAATGTATTTGTTGACACATATACATATTTGTTTATGAATTTTGTTATTTTAAATTGCAAATAAATGTCGATTTCAAAAATCTGACACAATTGGACTGAATATTGTAGTATACCAAAAATTCTGAAGAAAGTAAAAGCATGTATTCTTTAATAATATAAATTATGAAACTATATGTTTCTGGTAACAAATGCTAGTATTTTTGTACTGTGTGCATATGCATATAAATTGTACCTAAAGATTTTATGTAATAATGTTGATGATTAGTTGGAGATAGATTAATTGAATTCTATGTGTATAATCAAAAAATAATTTTTATACGTTAAACAACTCCCCAAATTTTGAGTTTTCGAAACTCGAAACTTTTTTAAGCTTCGAGTTTCACGGTTTCGTTCCATCTCTAGGCAATCATATGAGTTGTATCTCGTGGCGCGCTTACATTTGGCATTACACCGAGCGAATACACATTCATTCAGTGATCTTTAATAATTAATATTTTGTTAACTATTTTTAAATTACAAAATGATAGTTTGACAGTTTTGACTTGTTTAGTTTGCTATATCTGTCCATGAGCGTTATTAATAATTAGCAGACACTAAGTGCATTTGGTCTGCACACGCATGCGCATACATACATAAAATTCATAACTGGTGATACAATCGAGAAGGAGATTATTTTTTACATGAAAAAAATCGAAAAAGTAGAATTTTATAATAGGCTTTGTTTTCGAGAAATTGTACTTTAAATATTCGCTGGGTATCTACAGATTTAATTTATAAATTAAAATTATTTAGAACACGTCAGAAAGCGTTCATAGAAATTTATTTCAAAGAGCAGAATTATATAAGTATATAATTCTGCTCTTTGAAATAAATTTCTTAAATAAATTGATAGAATGGATAACATTTTTAACAATTTATATGTAAATGTAATAAAATTTATTGTCCGTAAATGTCTTATTTTTATTATGTATTTTCGATTACCCAGTACAACAAGGAATACAAACATGAATAGAGATAATAGTTTACATTCCGATCTATAAGTCAAGACATAATTAAATGCACACATACCCGGCGCATAAGTCGACTTTTTTTTTAAATAAAGCCTCTTGAAAAAACTATACGTTTTCGACTTATTTTTTCATCTAACATTTAGCTCTTTTTCTGATATCACAGGACTCTGTACACAAGTATGTATACGGTACATGTGCAATACATATTTTTCCAAACGTCATTATGCTACAAGCCATTCCAATTTTATAGATTATTTATTACATAAAATCTTTGTTTTAATGTGTAAAAGTTTAATAAAGCGGAATAATTTTATTAATAAATAAATTTATAATACGCATGTTTTCATTATTAGCCAGAGTTATTCTAATTATGTATTAAATTACACATGTGTATGTATATATGTATGTATATGTGTGCGTGTATTATGTATATATGCTGTACGTCTGTTTATTATGTATAATATAAAAAAAAATATTAAGAAAAAAATATATCGCATTTAAGCGCTTTTATACATAAATCTTATTTCATACAAACAATTGATTGTATAAAAAATCATTGGTAATTAGTATAATTTTGTAAATAATATTTTTACATTCCTATAAAGATAACCAGGTCCAATTTCGTCGTTTTTGTAATAATAGTATTGTCTTGAACATACCTTGTTTTTATACTAGTTATTATTTGTGTATATTGTTTACGATTAATATGTTAATACCCCTTACACAGAGAGAACATCTGTAATTTTTATAAAAAGATTCACAAGAGATAAAAAAAAAAACATTGATATTTATCTCTCTCAGACAAACAGATTTATAAGTATAAGTTCTAGTAATCATATTCTATAAAATGAACAACTCAGCTTAACAGAAAATTCTTTTGATATTTAAATAGTCAAGTCATAGCTGTTAAAATTCGAAAAATAATGTTAATAGTGCATTTGATATATATCTTATACTGCGGTTATTTAATTGAAACTGTATGTTGATATATGATGGATGTGTCTATTAACCTATTTATGAATAGAACAAAAATATATACATATAATGACACAAATTTGAAATTTTATCATAACATAAATTGTGTGAGACTGTAATAAATATGATATGTTTCTTGAAAAGTTCCAAAATATAATTTTTATATTATTTTACTCAAATTCTCTAAAATGATTTTGAGATAACATCTAATTTAATCTATTTAATATATTTCATGTCATAAAAAAAATTGTATAAAATACATTTAAGCCAAATGTTGGAGAAATATATATAACGATTTTTCTTCAACGTTTGGCTTAAATGCATTTTAATATTATGTGTGTGTGTGTGTGTGTGTAAGTGCGTGCGTATGTGTGTGTATACTTTTATTGACTTACATTTGTAAATTAAAGGGAAATAGGAATGACTATTTTATTTACTTTTTTTTCGTATAGTTAAAAACGAGGATATAAATATTAAAACGAAGGAATAATAGATTGTGTATGTTATGTATACATAGATAATGTGATTAATTTCAAGTATTCTCATTACTTCTAGTGCAACCATGCTCTTCATATTTCATTTAAATTTAATGTTAAAAAAATGATCGTTTCCATGGAACTCTATGGAACTCGGATAATATTCTTTCATATTAATGCTGAACACTTGTAGCAAAGTATACATTCTGAATAGAAGTGGACAAATTATCATATAATTTATATTAATATAACATAAATTGTAAACACAAAACTACCTTATTTTATAACATATAACATAAAATATTTAAAAATCAAGTTGGTTCGAATTAAAGAAATTGAAGTTTTTTGAAAAAAAATAAAATAAAAATTATCGTATTACGTAAAATTTTTCAAAATTTTTATATCTGATATTAAAAAAGTTAACGAAGGTTTAAATGAAAATTTTGTCAAAATCAAATTTAAGAAAAGATAAAAAATAAGTTGATTATGAATTCTTATTTTTTAAATTCTTTGTAGTTACTTCTTAAAAGTTTCATAATAGTTATACCGGAGTCAAAATAATTTCATAATGCATTTAACCGATTACTGTATACTCAAACTTCGAAGCCAAAAAAATTACAGATTAAATGTGTTTTGGGATCAGTTTTGACCCCAGTGTGATCACGAAGAATTAAATTTAATTATTTAAAATTCTTTTTTTTTGAATTTGTAATTAGAAGGTATTTTAACGTGTAATATTTCTGTTAGAAGTTTACATCAAAATCTACTCCATTATTCAGTGAAATAAATAACAGTCTCATAACTTACAGCCTATGTATACATATAATGTAACGAAGCTAAATTGTTTAAATCGTATATTCTCTTTCTCTTTCTCTCTCTCCCTTCCTCCCTTCCTCTTTCTATAATGATGTCTCTTTAAAAGTATAAAAGAGTGTTCTGTGTATCATCGAAATACAATTAAAAAAATACAATGAAAAAACGATATAATAGTAGTAAACAAAAATAATGTAACTGGTATAGACGCATGATGAACAATAATCCGTGACGTTTGAAAGCACAATAATATATTTAATTTTTTAATTGGTACTATGAACAATTATTGATAATAAATTTTTGTAATATTTTTTAATTATATGTACTTTCTATGTTTCGTATTTTTACTTTATTATCTTGTATTTTATTATATGTAAGCTAAAGAATGTAGATATATCGTGCCTTTTGTATATTGTACATTTGTATATAACAATATTTTACATGAATTATTATTACAATGTAGTTTATACACAAATAATAAACAATTTTAAAAGATATAAATGGTATGTTAATTTATTAATGATTAATAAAAAATATAAATGCTAATTTATGTGATAATAAGTCAACAATATAGATATAAGTGTGATATTAGTTTATTTGTTTATAGAAAAGAAAACGTTGGATATTTAATTGCATCAATGTATTGTTATTATAAGTTATTGGCTGTGTTCAGCAGAAGTTCGCGTTTTAATAGTGTATCAGGTTGCATTTCAACCGTTTGAAAATTTTATTGAACGCTCCTAAAATTATATGATGCGTAGTGTGCTGTGTTGAAATAAAATTGTAAAATATAATTATAGCGTTTAAAAATAATTTTGATAAACAATATTCAAATCTAAAGACCGTCAATGTACGAATATAACTAGTACAAATACGAAGCCTATAACAGTCTAGCTTGGATGTGGAAATTATGTATAAGCAATTAAAGATCCGTACTTAAGCAAAATAGGGCGCTCTACAGCCCCAGTATTATTTTTGAAAGATATTCATAAATTTCTAGAAAATTAAGTAACAAATAAAATAAAAGTAAAACCAACAATAAAATAAGTGTAATATTATACAATATATGCAAATATAAATTCTTTAAAAATATCTTCGTCTAACCATGTATATTTAAATGCGCGAACTCTTTGTTTCCTAATAGCTCCTTTAGTGACATGCTGTTCGGTAATGACATAGGCTGTTGGAACAGCCCTTTTAGGAAGGATCGATCAAATTTCTCTCTACTTTGAATTTTATATTATCAATTCATGTTCTTTATTAAGTATCGATGCGAAATCTTGAGAAGCGATTGGTGACGCGATGCACTCTGAATCGTTCCGCTGGGCTGTAACCGATACTCGAAATGTCTTAATATGAATGCTCCGATCGGCGATCGACTCTACTATGTAGAGTAGTACAAATTGCCGCAAATGCATTCCGAATAATCGCGACGATTTCAATCGTTTTTTAAACCGCCGAAGTAATCGTTACTCAGCGTGACTTGCTTCGACCGATACGAGACGTAACAAACACAAACGAGGCAAAAACTGTGTTTTGGCAAGAGATGTTTAACTGCTGACGGCTAGAGAAGGTCTGCGATCGGAGCATGCACAGCTGATTTCGGCGAAATCTATTGATAGGCTTGACGACCACGGGGAAAAGGGAAAAACAGTCTATCGCAATCGCTAGACAGACGTTCGAAGAATTCGAGAACCTTATAAATATAATAACTCCAACGGGGAATCCTAAACAAAATGTTTTTAATGAAAAATTAAATATTACAAAAATCCTTTTACGTAGCACTTGGGGATCCCTATAGAGCATAATTATTCTTTATATCCCCCATTTGCTTGAATGGCTTCTATTCTCGGTCTAAAGCGTTCACACGCACGCTGTAATGTAGCGCTGTCCATGCCGACGAATGTTGCCTCAATAGTGGTCCTTAATGACATCACATTAGGATGCCGAGACTTGTTAGTGACCCTTTCAACTACGCTTCATAAGTAGTAATCCAAAGGATTTAAATTTGTTTTTCAAGAAATACAATAGCAAATTGCAGCAAGCAATTCGCCTTGTCCTGGCAGCCTCAGAGAGCATCTGTCGTATTTTTAATGTGTACGATTTGTATCGAAGGTCCTTCTCCGCAATTCGACGCATTGTTGGTTTGCTTACACCAACATATAAACGATTGATCTCAGGTATCCAAAAAATCAAATTATTTCCATTGAAATAAGGTGCTGAGCACCCAGCGCGAAAGCTCTTCGATTATACTCCGCACTTGGTTTCACGGCCATTTTGAGGACATGACTGTTCACTAGAAACATCAGGCTTTCTTGAAAAGCCAACAATATCCTTTGGCGGAGGCACAATATAGTGGAAAATTTAAATCGTAATTTGTCCGGATTTTGGTGACGCACCCTGTATTATTGTTACAAAAAATTTTGTTGAAAACTTTCTTCTATTTGAGTACACATCTTTTATTAATAAGCTTACATAAATTCTAATAGTACATGTATCATTTGCTGAGATACATTTAATAAATAGAGCTTGTTAAATCCCGTTCAGGGACTCATCAAAAGCATATAAATGTACATGTTTAAATTTCCTACTTTAGCAGAAAAATGTATTTCGCAGATCGCAAATTTAATATCTTTTTTGAATCAATGAATCGTATTCGTCAAAACTTAAAAGTTATGTTTCTGTTTAGTAATAAATATTACATTATATTTTTAGCGACAAAATTTCGTATCATGATTTGTATTGTTTATCAAATTATAAACGTATTTGTAAACATGCTACGAAATAGCCAACAAATTGATGCCACTTGTAAATTAACATTGGACATATCGAATTTTTAAATTTTATATAATTATTAAATGATCATTAATTAGAAAAATATTACATCACCCATTTAAGCGTTACTTCTTGCCGAGTTTTACATTCTTCCGAGGCGGTGCTCCCCATCTTAATGCGCTATTATCGACTGTAAGACGCGGCCTTTTATACTGACTGCTTTTTATGTGTTCTTCTACTAATTTGGGTGTGACACAAATAACATGCTGTCCTTTCCAATACTTAACCATGTTCATACTTTGTAATGTCGAGATAATATCAGTCTGTGAGATGCTGGTCATTTGACTGCAAATAAATTGGTATTTTTTATTTACTACTACCGAAACATTCTTTAGTATAATATGTATGATTGATATTTATATATCTCACCTAAGATCTTTAATACTAAGAGTCCCTCTAAAATCTCGAAGGATTTCCAACAGAATCCAACTCCAATAACTGCGATAAGATAACTTTCCTAAATCGCTTAAAGGTTTCTCTGGACTTCCAACTGTTTGTTCAATTCTACTTAATTCATAACTAAAAGCTATCAGTAGTTTACCATAGCCTTGTCTTTGGAAAGGTGGTAGAGTTAGGATACATGCAACATTATTACCGTCGGGTGATTCTTTCTCCTAAAAATAGAATCAAATTTGTTGAGAGAGAGAGAGAGAAAGAAAAATATTTATATAAAATTTTAAAAAACTCGAAAAATATAATTTCTAAATAAATTAAAATAGCACAAATAATTATATTTTTGATAAAAACATCAACTTATTAAATTAGACAAACTCATCACTGTTTGTTTTTTAAAATAAAATAATACAATAATTTTACTAAAGAGAGATTATTTTATTAAAATAGATACATAAGAATATTTTATTAAATTTGTACTGTACCTTTGAAAAATAGCCAACTAAATGTGCACCGTGCTTATCCACCTCGCATAAGATGTAAAAAAGAAATGGCTCTACATCGAAGTATAGAGTTTTGTGATCTAAAAACAATTTTGCTAACAAACACAGATTCTGACAATAAATTTTGTGCTCTCTGCCATCTACTTCCCAAATACTTAATGTTCCTTTTCGATAAATTTCCTTTCCAACTGGTTGTCTATGAGTACATTCACTCTGAAACAGACATATATCATAATTATGGTGCATGTTCTTAATAAAAGCTGAATAAATATACTTTTTTGTCTTTTATATATATATATATATATATATATACCATGTGATATCTATAAGTTTTCTCGAGTCGCATATATTTTAAACAATATTCACAAATCCAGAGTTTTGATTGTTTACCATATTCTTCTGGATATGGACTGAAATACCAAGTGTCAATTTCATATTTGCCTACAAACAAATTTTTAGAAATTATGAGATCCTTTTCTTCATTAATTGGATTACGTGTATGAATAATAATTACCAATCTGTATTCTATCTATGTACTTTACTTTTGTTATTGCTTCATGTTCTTTTTCCAATGCCGCTGTAGTAGGATCCATTTCTGCATAAGTCTAAAATAATAAAAATATACTAATATGTATTACATTCAGTAATAACATGTAAAACAAAGTTCTTGTGTATATTTTATGTTTGAAACAATATTTATTTTGTATAAATACTTAGAACGCATGTACAAAATGTATAAGAATTTTCTATTTTATCTTATAAGAACAATGGTAAATATCTATTTTAGGTGACACCTCATTGATTTCAATGTTCTTAAGATATATTATAGGGGAGAGTGTCCTGAGTGATTCCCCACAAGAATTAAGTGGGGGACGGCATTAGTTTAGAAGATATAGTAAATTAAACTTCTATAATAAATAACGTAGATATTTTTCATTAAAAAATTACTTTTTTTGTTTATAACATAAAAAAAAAGTTACAAATTTTATTTAAAGACAAAAAAAAATGCGCTATGAAATTTTCTACATGAATCAGTCGTTAAAATTGAAATTTGTCCAAAATTAGCCTTACGGACAATACTTATCTCATGTAATCCACGCGTATCCCTTTACAGAATCCAGCCCTTTAATTGAAAGATGAAAATCAACAGGTTACTTTACTTTGATGAGATACAATCAAAAGTTTAATACAAATGTAAAACAGCAATTAATAATAATAATCAGCAACATCGCTAACATCGCTCATATGATGAAGCTAGGAATGGTGCAACAAATAACTTCATTATTTGATAAGGTTCGCTAATTATCATTTGAATTTATACGTCTCAACATTAAGGATGACCCAAACGAGGTCCGTTTATCAAATGCCTCTTTTGTTTCTGTAGTAATTGTTTATGTCTTTTCAATGTATTTATTATATTCTTTAGTGTTTTGTTATTGATTTAAATATATATATTTTTGGCTCATAGCCTTTATATTATATGGGACTTCTATAATATGTAGAAAATAATACTGATGTAAGGAGTATAATACGAATAGTGAAGTTTGTATATACTGCATTGATCTCTTAAAGAATGTGAACAAAGTCAAAGTCACACAGTCACAAGTATTTTGTGAACAGTCAACGTACTTCTCGCAGTCTGTTAACAAGAGTTTCAATATGCGACTGTACAAATTTCTAAGTCTTATTGATGATAAGAATAAGTTATTATAACCCAACCCATTTGTTGGTGTGAGATAGCTTTCACTTTGCATTGAAATTTACATGCAACAGTTCACTTATGAAAGTTATCTTATCTCCTAAACTAATGCCATCCACTACTTAATTATCTTGCGGGGAATCACTCGGGACACTCTCCCATACAATATATCTAAAGGACATTGAAATTGGTTAAGTGAAACCTAAAATAAATATTTACTAAAACAATTAATCCATATATGTGTATATAAACAAGTATCGTTTCGTTGGCGTGTGTTTGAAAATTATATCTAATAAATATGACTAATAAATTTTTTATTTACGCAGCAATATGATTCTATTCAATAGATATATTTACCTTCTGTACATGGTTAATCTCATCATGACGTCTCTTCTGATTTCTAGTGATTTTACGATCAGAAGAATCTGCTAATAAATCAGTTCCAGAATTCCTATCATGCCGTTCCATTTCAGTCATATCAAATCTGCTACACATAATTCGATCACGAGGCACCCACTCGTCCAATCTTCTGTTATGTCCGTCATAGTGGACGTAATATTCAAAATGTCTTTCATTTTCATTATAACGTGTTTGGATAATTTCAGCAGGATCTATGTAACAATAAAATGATGAGTAATAAAATCAAACAAAAGTACAGAATTCTGCCTATTAACTTAAAGTTCAAGTACAATAAAATAATCATAATAAAAGTACAAAAAAGAGAATTCTTATTATGGTAAAATCTCATAATATAACAATATGAGGAACTAAAAACATGATGGAAAATCGGTAATAATTTAATTTTCAAGGTTAAGAAAAATTAAGATAAAAATTGTTACACACGCCAGGAGTCAGCTGATCGGCGAACGAGATAATGCTCGCCTATATCGAGCGGTGACTCTTCGAAGCTATCAGCATCATCGCTGGAGCCCTTCCCGCCATTCGTTAACGTACTGTCACGCTTCTCCTGTTTCACCATCGTCTCCTTTGACGACGCTGTATTACAACCATCTTTATTACTTCTCTGTTCGGATTCGGCCATTTTCTGTGATCGTAATTCACATATCACGCGAATCTCTCTAGTTAGTGCAAACTATCCCTAAAAAGCTGAACATTGCAGCCGCTGTTGCAACAACAAAACGATCTGGAACCTGGAATAAGCTCAGCGGAGCAGAGTTGCGGTTCGAAACTGTCAAAAACGCAGATATCTGTTAATAAAGGTGCCTTTTCATGCTGATGCTCGAGGGCGGGTTCACATCTTGGCCCGGATTTACAATAGAGTTCTATGCCTTAAGGTGCCTTTTCACGAGCTGCTGAAACAAAAAAGGTCACGTGATAAAAATTGACGAATAGCAAGCGTCATGTTCGTTTTTTGTCGCTGGAACGGGCAGTTTCAGCAGCTCGTGAAAAGGCACCTTAAACTCGGAACGCAGCCTGATTGTGGGATTCTGTACGCAGGCGCAGACGAGTGCGCCGCGGACGGACGGTCGCGAGGATCGCGACTCGCGAGTTGTCGGAAGAGTAGAGTCACAGTTCGTGTCGTGTTGTGGATTTGGGTGGTGGCAGTGTGTGTGTGTGCGTGTGAGAACGTTTCGTGTAACTAAACACGGACCGAGTTGTGTGCCTTGCGAGAATAGAGCGGACGGACACGTCTTGGTATTTGCGATGGACACCCGCTTGGCGATACCCATTGCACACGGCGACACGAACTGCTTTCCCTCATCCATTTATCAGCTTTCCTCCTAAGTGCTCCATCGACGTGAACGAGGATGCGCTGCGTGACTGTACTGTTGCCCGTTGTTGACGTTTCCCCGTAGATGCGCATGTGATGCGCCGTCGTTGACAGGGAGTGTGCGTGCGCGCGCGTGCATGTGCGCACATATATGTGTATCATCGCTGTACGTTTCTCGGGTGCGTCGTCGCGCTGCGTCGAGGAATCCAGGGTAACAGTAGTACAATAGTAATACAGTTGGAGCGAGTCTCTCCGAAGATTTCCGTCCGTAGTATCCGCCGGCGGGCGCCGCGAGGAAGTGCGAGCGCGCGCGCGAACGCTACGGCGGAAATATGGGTATCGTGCAGAGTCGCAGCGGGGAGAGCGATGGTGGTGGTGTACGTGAGGTTTTCGTCGGCAGCGTGAAGGCTGGCATGCCTCATCACGCGTGTCAATTGAACATGGGCATGGGCAGTCTGAGCGGACCTCACACGCGCAGCGGCAGTATGCGTAACGCGCCCAGACAACCGATGCCGGATGCCGTCGAGCTCGAGAGGCGCTTCACCAAAGTTCTGGTGAGTGCGACACCAGTTTTTCCTTCAGTCTCTATATTCATGCGCGGGGCAATCGTAGCAGACGATACTGGAGACTCGATTGTGTATTTATATGTAAATAACAAAATAAGAAAGAGATAAGGATTACTCATGTAAAAATAAAGAAAATGATGACAAGGGCGATATAAGAGTCAAAAAGAATTTTCGTTTAATAAAACGTATAATCAGTTAATATTTCCAATAAAATTAATTTAAACATTACTTAACATTTTTCACGTCGAGAGCCGAAACTTGTAACGTTTTTTATATTTATTAATACTTATTTTTATTGTAATTTTATTATCATAGTTAATTGTAGGCGATTTAGTGTTAAGTAATGTTTAAATTAATTTTATTGGAAATATTGACTGATTATATGTTTTATTGTTGAACGAAAATTCTTTTTGACTCTTATATCGTCCTTGTCATCATTTTTTTTATTTATACGTAAAGTAAGGAGCAAATTACAAAAGTGAGAAAATTCATTAGATACCTACTGACCAATTAAATTATTAATATTCTAGTGAATTTGCTCACTTTTGTACCCACCCAGCATCTGAAAAGAGATTAAAATAGATTGAAAATTTTTTATGTGTTTTAATTAATTTAATCATTCTTGGGACAACTGTCGTACAGTACAGATCATTTCTTAGTTTATATTGTTTCACTTGAAAGAAGAAAATTGCACATAGCATCTAATTGCCGTAACTTCAATATATATTTTCAGTTTTGATTTAAATTATTCAATTTATTTCTTAATAAGCATGTTTTATTTAGAATTACGATGCAGATAATTTTCTTGGTTTGGCTTGCGAAACAATTTTTATACTTTTTACTTCTGACTTGATGGACAATAATTTGACCGATTAATCATATTATTTCGTTTTAATGTTACAATTTATATTATTGTGTATATTATATCAATGAGATTAAAAAGGACTTATGTAAAAGTCGAAACGTTTCTCATTTGTAAATTTATGGAATAATTTGATAGATATTGACATCTTTTATTTTGTTGCTTATTTTTAATACCGTATTTTACTATCATCATTTGTTGTTTTTTTTAAATATGACAAGCGTTATCTTTGTATTTATAAGTTAATTAATTTGAATCAAAATTCTTGATTCATGCATATATGGATGGAAGGGAATTGAATGTAGTAAAATTGAATCACTTTCTATCCATGTAGATAGAAAATCTTTGTGCATTGTTGAAGTAAAAATGTATAATTTTGTATCTATGTCATAAATGAAAATAGATTCATGATCCGCGAAATTTTTTCTATTGAAAAGAATAAGATTACACCTGTTAAGGCCTTGTCACACAAAGACTTAAGGCAGTAAGACGTAAGCAGTAAGGAAATCAACGTTGTGGATTTGCTACTGCTTCTTAAGTTATGGCCTTACGGCCTCTACTGTGATTGGTCAATTCGCTTACTGCTAAGTCTTCCTGCCTTAAGTTTTTTGTGTGCCAGAAGCCCTTATAGGGCCATCCCTGAATTCGAGGTTTTTAAATCTGTTTTGGACTGAAATAATAGCAATTACGTCATTTTAATACAATATCAAGAATTAAAACGGATTACATGGTTTATCTTTTTAACGAAACTATTTTTCAACTGAAAAGAATAAGACTCACACTTTCTTCCAATCTTGTATTATGGACGAAAATGGATTTAAAGCTCTCAAACCTGCATTGGATTAAAAGAATAAGAATTACGTCATTTCAATCCTATGTCATGGATTAAAATGAATTGCATGGCTTATTTTTTTCGCAAAACTTTTTTTTTTATTAAAAGGAATACAAATTCTGTAGATTCAATCCCACATTATGGATTAAAATGGATTGAGTGTCATATCTTTTACGTAAAACTTTTTTTTGATTGAAAGAAATAGAAATCACATCTGTGAAGCTGGCCCCTCATTGTCAAAATTTTGAAAAAATAAGCAGAGTTCTGGTTGCCCCCCGAAGAGTTCTAGAGTTCTCTATCAAATTTAGGAAGAGTTCTATTGATTAAAGCAGCGAAAACACCATTTGAAATTACGGGGGGGGCCAACTTCACGATTCTGCAACTTTGAAGAGCTATAACTTCTAAACCGTTCATTTTAGCACGTTGGTCTATAGAGGACAATCGATAGAACTCTTTGGGGGGCTATCAGCTTCTCAAGAAAACACCGAATTTCCAAAATTTTTTTCAAAAAAATTTTTTCAGAAAAAAATTTTTTTTTTTAAAGAAATTCGGCAATCTGATACGAGTTCTAGTAGCCCCCCGAAGAGTTCTAACGATTAATCATCGATGCTTTTTTTCAAAAAAAATAAAATAAAATTTGTGCTGGCGGTGCTAACTTCACGCACATGCATCATATTATTGTTACATGCAATGACAGAGTTTTCAAGTAAAATCGACGTCGTTAAGGGGATCCTAAATACAGATAATCATATTGGAAATAGCACTTACACACAGACGATTACGTGTCATTGACACATCACTACATCAATACCTTAAAGCCACATATATACGTAGATTTTTGTATCGTAATTACGTTTTAATTAGACATCTAAATCTAATTTTAAGAACTCTACGTTGTTTCTTCATGTAAACTACATGCCTGTGGTGGACTACTATTTCTTAAGTACAGATTGCGCATCTTTTATGTAAAATAAATGTTATTACGACGTGCAACGACATGACAGCTCTGGAGCGCCATATTGGACTAAAAAATGGTAAAGGACTCAATTTCGAAATTTTTTTTATTGTTTTCGGCATAGATTCTACCTCACAGTCACGTATTAATGCGTATACTTTAATTCTGTAAAAGGATTTTCGAATCTGTGAATGACAAAAAAAGTATTTACGATACAAAAATTATACGATTTAGTCGGTAATACAGACTACTTTTTAGGATCCTGTTAATGTTGACCGGATAGAACTTCCTTTTCATGAAAGAGAACAAAGAAAAGTCACAGAAGAGCAAGTATACGCTTTGCGAAATGGCTCGTGGCCAAATGGTGTACACGTGCGAACAGAGTTATTCTTGGGCATTTAATAAAAAAGCCTACCAGTCAAGGGACATTGGTCGCTTCTAATCTATCGGTCGGTGCTTATTACTTGGCCGTGAAAATTACATTTTGCACAGTTCAGTTAATTTGGCACGTTTAATGTGTATATTTCAACTATTTATTCAATGAGAATTTAAATTTCGAATATATCTTGTTTATTTTTCTTTCTCTTTAGAAATTTAAATTAATGTGCACTATTTTTATATTTTTAATATTTTTAATTTTATATCTAACAATTGTTGAAGGTTACACATGATGTAACACTATTTCCATAATTATAATTACACTGAAAAAATTTTGATCCAATGAATGATTGTTAATCAATGACAAATACTTAGTATTCAACTGAATGAAGTTAATTTATTAATTCAATAACTGAATTCACACATTAATATAATTAAATATTTATTCTTGCAATGAATTCTAGTAATAGTTATATAATCTAAATTATTATGAAAACTTATTGGACCAATCATTAATTCAATGAATATTTTTTTATTGTATTTATGTACAGTTTTGGTTTAGTATATATTATAATAAAAATTGTTAATTGTTAAGGTAAAATTATTGTATAATTGTAATTATATATATATATTTATTTTATACCAGTGTTTAGCATTAATTTTGTTATTAAAATATTAATAAAATAACTTGCACATAAAGAATAATCTCTTTATTCTATAGTTCATTTTTGAAGTTGAAAATTATGAGTTTTTTTATATATAATAATAATAATAATTTAATTTATTTTAGATTATATCATACTGTATAAAAAATATATAAATATGTGAATTAAATACGAAATA